AAAATGAGTGATATGGTACTGGACTACTTTCAGAATTAACATTTTGATATAAATTTTGATTGTTTGAAATGCCTATCAACTGTGCACAGGTAATAAGAACCAACAGTCTTGAGATCTGTCATTTTACACAATCAGTGGAGACAGGATATTGACCATAATTCATAGAGAGCATTTGAAAGCTGAAATCTAAAATTGCTCGTGAACAAAAATGTAAATGTATGTGAAAAATAGTAGACACGAAACAAAATATAACCAGAAAAACTTGTTTACATATAAATATTCTTTTCAGCTTCAGAAAATACATGATACATGGTCAGCTTTAATATAATTTTTTGTATGGTTTACCTTCATTACTGGCAATTATCAAAGTTATTTTAAACAACTTGATCAAATAAATTTCACTTGAAAAGAAAACTAATTTGTCACAATGTTGGCAAAAGTGAAAGTATATGTTGTTATTAAATAAAGGTCAGACTGTTTTTCGTCAAACATGGGTTGTTACAGCATCAGTCATTCGCTGAAAGCTCCTTTTTAGTAATTAATTGGATTTTCTGTCATGAATTTTGACTTGTGCGTGTCATTTCACAAATTCCAGAAATCGTTGTCGTAAACTCTGCTTCAAAACAACTGTTGTGCTGCAGACCTGGACAGTGGAACTGATTATCGATCAACTTCAGGCTAAGTTGCAGTTACTGGCATAGATATTTCACTTGATAACTACATACATGTATACATAACTCAAACAAATAGGGCAGTAATGTTGATTTTTTTTTTACTTTATATTGTTTCATTTCACTCTGTCCATGTTCTCCTCTAAGGAGTATACAGTATATATGAACAGTACAGACAGGAAACGCAGGCATTATGTTGATTTACTTTGCAAGCAATACAACCATACTACTGTAAAATCTGTATTAGAAACAGTGACTTCTATTAAAATGGTACAATGCAACAGAGGGGATGCGACTTCTATTAAAATGGTACAATGTAACAGGAGGAATGCGGCTTCTATTAGAGCACCTACACATATGAGAAATGATGAATTTTTGGTTCTCAATTATTCAAAAAGAATGAGTGCGACTTCTAATACAGATTTTACGGTACTATATTTCATTTTACATTTAAGTCAGTATAGTGCTGAAAATCAATCAAATATTCAGACAAAAATTCTCCGTCAAGTCAGAAAATTGCTGATAATAAAATTTTATTTTTATTTTGGTCAAATTGAGGTCAGAGGGTTATGTTGCATGCATTCAAACAGGACACTTTAGATTGGGATTCACTATTAATTGCTACAAATTCAAAAAGACATAAATATGAATCTATGTGAATGTAAGCAATACATGCAGGCTTGCATGGTCAGAAATAAACTGAAAATTCTCCAGTCAATTTCAAGCACTATGTTGAAACGTTGAAATGCCCAGAGGTTTGGTGAAATGAGTTCTATACCAGATTTGTTATTGTCGTCATCAGTTTTGAAGTGGATAAATAAATAATTTACTCATAGCTCATTTGAAAAGTGTAGGTGATGCCACATTGTAACAAAGCTGCCTTTTGTTTATGCGAAGCTGAAGCAATACTGAAGTGAGAAGCTGCCAAAGCTCATGCCACAGCTGTACTGTACAGATAAACATACAATATAGAATACATACACACTGATAAACAAGGCAACCACGAAGACTCAATCTCATTGTGTACTTTGAACACACAGCAGAAAATAGGTAATAGCACAACAGCTGTTTGTTCCCAAGTCCATATTGATGTTATTGGTGTTAGTGTGACAAATGAAACTAGAAAAGTAATGTTTATTTCACTAAGCAATAGAAAATGGGTGGGAGAAACCAGTGAGTGTAGGTTATCCATCTTGATATGATAGATAGGGTTGAATAATTTAATTGTAATTACACCCAGGACTGTTTAAAATGCGACTCCTGTTACACAGTGTCGCTTAGGAAGAAATTACAGAGCACGGCAGCATAGGAAAGTCATGGTGAAATTGTTTTCAATTGAACTGAGGAAAATTTATAACTGTCGCTAAATTGTAGTCCTTATAACCCTTCCACAGCCTACAATGCATCTGCAAGCAGGAAGTAATGTAATACACTTACCTTACAGAACCGGTTCAACATGGGTTCACAGGCTCTCATTAATAGTCTATCTAGCTTGATGTCTTCTGATTCTTCAGTGGTGAAATTCTGAATCAAAGCTTTACATTTACCATCAAGTTTTTCGTAGTTTTGCTGAAGACAATCCATTTCCTGCAAATGTTAAAGAAATGAACAAGCTATGTATGGAACAGTCCTGTAAGTTGTATAGTTTTGTTTATAGTAACATAGTACGAGTATGTGTCCATAATGAAAGATATATTGCTCTGGAACAGCATTAACTAATACAAAATGGCCACTGGTCGGCCATTTTGAATCAGATCTTCAAACTAATACATCTGTATATCTATGACATGATGTATATATATGAATATCTAAACTTTGAACATCAGTCAAGACATGTCAGAGATATTGCTCTAGATCTGCAATCATTAAAACAAAATGGCCATCAGTCAGCCATTTTGACTGATGATGTTTAATGTATGTACCATAAAATAAAGAGATCTGGTTCCGGAAGGCCAGATATGCTCAATTTTTGATAAAGTTTTGGCACAAAAATGGCCATCATTTGGCTATTTTGAATCAGAGCATCATACCAATATATCTGTATATCTATGAGATCATGTATTTTGAACATAATCAGTCAAAGCATGTCAGAGATAGGGCGCTAGAACAACATTAATTAAAACAAAATGGCTGCCAGTCTTGACGAGCATCATGCTCCCATAATGTCCAATATATATGTACCAAAATCCATCTGTAAACAGCAGAGAAATGCTTGATTTTTAGGATTTTTTAGTACAAAAATGATCACCATTCGGCAATCTTGAATCAGAACAAATTGATGCATATGCATATGTATTGATGCATGTGCATATGTATAATATTATGTATAATGTATGATGTATGTGTGAAGTTTGAATGTAATCGGTCCAGACATGTCTAAAATATAGGTCTGTCCAGACGCATATACGCACATGAACACACAAATACATGGATGCACGCACATGGGTCAATCCATAAGCCCCCATTTTCAAACTGCATCCAAAACAGGAACTAAAAATGACAATTTTAAGTGAAAATATTGCTGTCTTTGTATATTGTGTGACAGTCTCCCATTGTGTCTACACACACTGATTGTACTGACCTCGCCTGAGTTGACATTCTCACTGCAGAACTCTCCAAGGGCAACTCTGCACATTGCTTCAATATGTGGATTCAATCGAACATTGTCTGCTCTCTGTCTTAGAACACGATGAACCTCAGCAGAACATTGTCTAGACAACTGTAAAATATGATATCAATATTTACACATTCGGGTTTATAGTTTTAAAGAAAATGTCTGTTAGAAAAAGTCATGACATAGTCACCGTTTGTTTTCAATGTGTGTGTTCATATGTCAAATATGAATGCAATCATGAACATTTGGCAGATCTCTATCAAATCAAGCCTTGTCATGCATTTTCAGATAATCGTAGGCTCTTTGAATCCACACTTGAAATGAATACAAGTTATTATCTGTGACAAGAATGCATAGATAAACTTTGAATGCCTTCAGTCAAGGCAAGTCTGCGATATAAGCTCCCAATCAGGAATCTTCAATCAAAGAAAGCTTAGAAAGAACTCTAAATTTAATTTAAGGGGAGAGTAGGAAATCAAACAGGCGGTGTACCGCGGTCATTACAGCGGTGGTGGTGGGTGCTCGCCGGTCGACCACATTTTATGCAAATTTATGCATAGATTCCATGACGCCGGCTGACCGCAGTCGTCCGTGGTGGGATCGCACAGCAATTCACACTTATTGCAAGACCATTAATGAACACAAAGAACTGGGAAATTAAAAGGATCACAAAGTTCTAATGAAAAATTAAAGCCGAAAGCTAGAAAACTAGTCTATAATAGTTGACATTATTTTATTTGCCTGAGCCTTGGAATAAAATCACAAAACGATCCAGAAAGACGTAGAGATCAACATAATATAAAATATGATCGCATTATTTTGTGAATATATGTCATGCATGGTCTCAGAAAATGTTCAGAAAGATTAATGTTTCGCGTAGACCAAATATAATCACGCATAAGTATAAATTCAAAGTGTTTTTTAATACATTGGTGAGAGGTTGAATTTACGTGAACAAGAACATGCACTAAGAAGGAAAAGCAAGCCAAAGTCGAAACAGGGTGTATCATGGACTTGGTACAACATGCGCTGCGACAATTGAGTGATCGTCGACATCATTTTGGGGCACTTCAAGTACCTTGCGAAACTTGCTATGCGGCGATGCTGACATGAAGTGTGTGTTGACCGAAGTTTGACCCCAAGTCACGCACTAAACTGGCGCGTTACCTTAGCAACCCTTTTCTTTCTTGGTCCACGCGTCGATTTCGTAAAATTGTTAATATATCCGGCGGTACTGTAATAACACAACCTGTATCCAACTCTGTATTGGCTTTGAATATTTCAACATCGTTTATTTAGTGTGCTGCTTTTCTAATAATGCAAATATGTTTACAGTATTGCACGGGCAATATTTCAACTTTGCAATGTATTGCTTTTATAATAATTACGCAAACTAAGTTATTTTTATTATTTTGGGCTAATAAAGTGAATATGTAATATTAACTATACAATAACATACAATATCATGCGTAATGTTAACTTTTTCTATAATAAACTCGCAGTACACTTCGATCGCATTATTCACGTACATTTTGACTGAACTCTAATAACCACGTGTTTGAATTACGTGCGGCAATGGCAATGACCTCAATGAGTTCACACACCGACATTTAAATTCGGGCCACCCAGTTTGACGCAAAACGATAAGTTACTTAACATTTGTTCAAAAAATCGATAAACTCTCACAAATATCATGAACGCGAAGAATTAACTGAAAGGCAACATTGTTTTTGACCTCCCAAAAAACACATCAATACAAGCTTATGTGTGCAAGGTTAGATTTATAGAACGTATAACCGCTTAACTCTGTTTTTTTTTAATAATCATGTCGCACGTGAAACACAGGAGACATTTTAGTTCGTCCATTTCTTGTTTACCGATCTTGAACTTTTTGTCTGGAATGCGATACTGGCAAAGAATAAACATTAATGATACCCACAGTTGTCAAATCAACAAGAGGCTCGAATCAGGAAGGCTCGGCTATTTAAAACTTCGTAACATTCTTTTCATGTGGTAGACTTTATTCAAGTGTAACAAACGTAAGTGAAATGTATGGACGAGTCATAATACTCATACCTTCGAAAGTTACGACTTTTACTCTTGGAATTGGTGATAAATACATGCATAAAATACAACACTGTTTCACGCAGCAACAATTCGTATACAGCATTGGACTAATGGATTTTTATATTAATAAAATATGTGTGTCGATGATATTACCATATGCTTAGTATTTCCATGCCAACAATGCTCGTAACCTGCTCGATTTAAAAACAGCTATTTGAAACAAAGACTCATGGAATCACAAAGGAAACTGTTAAGTACGCATTTCACACCTTTCCTACGACCGCGGTTGCAACCGGAACCGGTGGCCACCGCGGTAGAGACCCCTAATTATAAGCAGTCCGCGGCTCTCCCCGATGTACCGCGTAGAGCCGCTGTGATTACCGCGGTGAACCTCCCGTTTGATTTCCTACTCTCCCCTAAGTTAACATACCTTTTGTTCACCAGGTGAAGGGTGTAAATAACGATGTAAACAAGCAAAAATGACTCCAGGTCCGAGTGAGTCGTCTTCTTCACTCACACCAGCATCAGCATTAGCCCAGTCATCAGGAGCATGACATAAAGTAACAGCATCATTGTTACACATCTTATAAAGCCTAGGATCCAACCTACAAAGGTGTCAAGATGTATTAAAAATGCCTACCACGTTTTATTTAACTTGCAGAGAAATATACCATTAATGAGAAGAATCACCACACAGGGCATTTGTGAGCTAGAGAACACGTTATATAAGCTCTCAAATGCAACCTAGATACCCACAATAACCCACAATCTGTCACATACAGTACAGTTCTCGCGAAAGCTTTTGCTTCACTTCACTTCACTTCAGCATCGCATCATTATGGCATTGTTATGGCTTCAGCATCGCATCAATGTCGCGACATTAAAAAGTTAGGCAGTTATCGCTTCGCTTCACTTTGGCGTCAATATGTCGACAATGTGGCATCAGCATCGCTTCATCAAACAAAGAAGTACAGAACTCATTTCACCCAACCTCTCGCCCGCTTCCGCTTTATTTTCGACTGTGCAAAAATTCGGACTACTAACAATTTTCTGGTTTTCGTAGATCACGGTTACTAGTTTAGTACTAGTTTAATAACCGTGCATAGATGTTGAACAACCGTCAAAAGTCCAAATACTTTTTGTTTTAACTATCTATAATTATATGCACACAATCTGACCCTTTGACCTAGATTTGGCCAAGATTGACTATATTATTTTAAACAACTTATTCTGACATGACGCACTGCTACAAAATGTATTTCAACAGAAGTACGACATGGTTGTCTGGGTTTCTTTTCCTGACTGTGTTGAGTTTACGATTTGTATAATTATTGTTATTTCCCCCCAAGGAGAAGACAAGTCGAAGGACCATGAAGCTAAATAGAAGTCTCAGGCATGGACTGAGTGAAAGAAAATATTTCTAAGGCTAAAACAAGTCATTGAAAATGACACAGTCCCCGTTAAGTTCCCTTTGTGCTCGTCATATTAAAGCGGAGGGGTTGTCGCGAGCATGTCCTTGAAACTTGAGTTCCAAGTGGCGTATACAACAGATTGTTTATTTACATCAAAACACGTGTTTCGTGTCATAGTAATATGGCCAAAATAAAAACAGTCGTTATTCAGCCATCTTTGATCTGATTATGAAACACACTGATATGTATGATGTGTGTGCCAAATACGAATGAAAATGGTACATAAATTGTGGAAATATAGTAGTAAGGCCAAAAAGTCAGATGGCTGTCAATCAGCCATCCTTGACCAGATTTTGAAACGAATTGTCATGGACATGCATCCTAACATGTATAAAGTACATGTATGTGCCAAATTTGAATGAAAACTGACAGAGCACGTTCAAGATACTGCATAAAAAAACAAAAACAAGA